AGCCGGGGGCGGTCGCCGGCGGCGTTTCGGGGACAGTAGCGGCGGGGGGGAGGCCGGCATCGGCATCGCCGGCTCCCAACGCCAACGTGGATTGCGCCAAGACGGCCAGGAGCTCTGCGGAGAGCTCCGCCTCGGTCATACAGCACGTCGGGCAGCCTGTCGCCACCCCCGTGAAACATAGCAATAAGGTGGCCAAATCCTGTGGCCAGGAAGCCAACTTCAAGGCGAACGAGACCGCCCTGGCCTCCAGCCCCATCTTCCTGCCGCCCAACGAAGCGTTTCGCTCCCCGCCTCTGCCCTACCCCAGGAGTTACCTCCCGTACCCAGTGCCGGAGGGGATAGCCATCAGCCCTCTCTCCCTCCACGGGAAAGGACACGTGTATCCGCACCCCGTCTTGCTGCCCAACGGCAGCCTCTACCCTGGCCACCTGGCTCCCAAGCCTGGCCTCCCTTACAGCCTGCCGGCGGGGCGGGGGGAGTTCATGACCTACCAGGATGCGCTGGGGATGGGGATGGTGCACCCCATGTTGCTGCAGCATTCGGCTTTGGAGATCAATAAGGAGGAGAAGGCGGAGAGGAGGTCGCGGTCTCACGAGAGGGTCCGCTACGAGGACCCGGCTCTGCGGGGCCGGTTGCCAGAGGTCCTGGAGACTGGCGGCAAGATGCATTTCGAAGTACCCAGCGACAAGAGCATGAAATTGCACCAGAGCTCCGGCCACGGTAAAAACTCGGCCAAAAGCGACAAACACCTCTTCACGGATCTTCTGCGAGACGAGCAAGAGGCTAAAAGCGAAGCCAACGTAACGAAAGCCAGCTTTGCTGTGGAGAGCAGTAATCAGGCTAATGACCCTACGAAGCACAAGGTAGAGCAGGCGTCGCAGCACAGAGATTTTATTGTAATGAGAGAGGAGTTCGGAAGAAATAACGATCTTCACGAAACCTATAATTTCAAGCAAGCCCAGAGTTCATCGGTGTTCGGCTTAAGGAAAGACGATTTATCTGTGAGCCAGCCTAAAGAGAGAGTGACGGTCCAGCCTTCGCCCGCTTTCTTGGAAAGCACCCACGAGAGCGATGCTCCGGCTCTGGCTTTCGGCAAGGTGCAGGAGGACGCGAAGCCATTCTGCATGGGGACCGCGCCACCCAGCATCGACGTCAGCCAGCCTTATACCAAAGACGGAGCCGACGACGTGGAATCTGCCGATGGCAAAATACTGAAACCCAAGCCGTCGAAGTTAGCCAAGAGGATCGCAAACTCCGCTGGTTACGTAGGTGATCGATTCAAGTGTCTGACGACCGAACTGTACGCGGACTCCAGCCAGCTCAGCCGGGAGCAGCGGGCCTTGCAGGTGAGTCCGCGCAGTCCAACGGCCGCCGCGCTTTTTGCCGTTATTTCTCTGTTTGCGAGTCGCGGTCAAGTATTGAAAGTTGAGAGAAGCAGCGCAGGTGGGGAGGTCAGAATTTTTTTTGTTCGGGCGTAGCTCGCCAGCGGTAGTTTTAAATAGCGAAGTAAGTTTGTTAACGAGAGCGAGGCGGTGTAAAGAGTAGCATGTGTGGCTGTTACGTTATGCACGCGCTAGCAAGCTTTAAAGGGCTTTTACTAAGTTCTGCTTAAAAATGTTAATGTACGTGTGAAATGTTTGTGCAGTTATGGAGGGGAGTCGGACAGGCATGCATGTTACCTTGGCACTGGCTGTAATTTCTCAGCTGGCCTGTAGTGCCTGCGAGCAGAGCGTGCCCAGGAGTTGTGATTAGTATGCCAAACGTGCCGTTGGATGGAGAGGAGTCGCGGCCATGTGTTTAGCGGGTCTCAGGCAACGTTTGCGCCAAGCGAACGCGTAGGAAAGAGTAGGAGCAGTACCGAGGTTGATGCCGAGGGTTGACAGACAGATACTGTATAGGAATATCCTTAAGGTATTTTACTTTTAATGAAGGGATGAGTTAAGCCAAATTGTTTTGCATTGTTAAGAAAAGAATTGGTTTATGCTTATAAAAATGGATGAAATTATCTAAATGATCCATTGAGTGCCCATTTTAATTACATAGATGGAAGGATTACAAGAGGACAGTATTTTATGTCTACCTGCTGCTTACTGTGAGGTCAGTTCTTCAAATTTTTATTACTAGACTCTTACATAAACCTTTGAGTTAAATTTCATTTCCAAATACACAAAGGGAAGTTTGTGGGCCATGGTCGTCTTTATTCATTGTACGGTTTTGTGTTGTTTTGTTTGTTCTTTTTTTTTCTTTTTTGTTTTTTTGTCTTTATGATTCAGACTTCTAGCATGTATTATCAAGCAGCTGTGTCTTGTAGGGAGTCTGTGGTAAACCTGAGTGAGGAGGGATTATATATATATATTTATAAATGAAAGAACTGTGTGGATATTTGCGTATAGATGCTAGAACACTCTCTCACAAGTCAGGTGTGTTAAACTCCTACCCTAGCTATCTATCTCAAAACCTTGGTTTTGAGCCGATTTTGCTTTGGAAATGCTTTCATATAAGGTAAGGTAAATGAAGTAGCTTTTATCGCAAGACTTTTTTTTTCATATCAATTCTCTTTCTAGCGTGCAATGATGCGCTTCTCAGAGTTGGAGATGAAAGAGAGAGAAGGCCAAACAGCTACCAAAGACTCAGAGGTCTGCAGATTCAGCCAGGCAGACTGGGAAAACTTGAAAGGAAACAGTGAAAAGAAGCCAAAGTCTGTCGCTCTGGAAGATGCCATTGCTGACCAAAATGACAATGACAGATGTAAGCGAATTTAGATGGCTTTCTGAAGCGCGTATGCGTGTCTCTGCTGCGGCAGCTTGCGGCGGAGCGGGGCGGGCAGGGCGATCTGCATCTTCTCGGGGTGTTGCTCGTTAAAGTCACTGAGCTCAGGTACGGAGCTGCCGCGGCTGGTGCTCCTCGGGCTGGTGTTGGGATGTGCAGGGTACCGATTACGGTGGTACCTGCTTTTCAGGGGATGGTTAACTGTCACCAAAGTTGCTGTTGTAAAGAGATCATCCGTTTAATTGATAAGTACCACACCAGCTGGTGAAAGCAAAGGTCTGAGGTTACGTTTGAAATGCGAGAGGAGGTGGGGGAAGAGTGAGAGGCAACAGGGGGTTCAGCTTCCTGAAAGTGCTGGCGCGCGGGGAAATGCCACTATTGCAGCTTCCAGGGAAAGCGAGGAGGGAGGACGGAAGGGTGATGGGGAACGGGAAAGGATTGCCTGAAAGTAAGATAAACAAATAAATAAATGGAATTAGGGAATTTTTTTACTGAATGCAAGAAAAATTACTTTTTTCTTTTTTTGTAACTCTTGGTAAGCACGTGGCTTCAATGAATTTCCCGATTTTTCTTTCTTCCCCCTTCTACCTATATAATTAAGGAATGGATCAGTTCCTCCTCCTGCTTCTTTGTTTTTAACAACTCAGGGTGGGGGGGAAACCAAATCTACCCCGAAAGTATTGCGAAACGAGGAAACACACTGCAGATTACGTTGTGCGCGCATGTGTGTGCGTGCACAGTGTAACTCGGTGGTTAAGTGTGCTCTTCCATAGGTGGAGATTCATGAGTAGGACTAGTTGGAAATTTCATTCAGGCAATTTAATAATTTTGAATTACTGTTCTGGTCTTTGGTTAATGCTTTTGGCGGAGAGCATGCTGGTCAATCGTACTTGCTTGGTTACTCACCTAAATCAAGTTTCTGTGGTATTGCTGTCCCTGAAATAACAAACTCCACAAAAATCAGCCTGGCAGAATAGCAAGGGAAAGTTTTAATTGTGGAATAGGAGAAGGTGCCAAGGTGGGGAGAAGGAAGGCTGAGCCCCTGGAAGCTGAGCGGGCTTTCCCTTCTCCAAGATGTATTGAGGCAGCTTTGGGGAGGAAGGCACCGCTGCCCTTGCAGTTCCCATACTCAAGCTGAGAGCTTAGTAGGCCGCTGCCCTGGCTCTCCCTCTTACAGCCCCCCTTGCTACTCCAAGGGCTCAAAGTACCCTGGTGATGTCCTCTGTTAAATCCCACCCCGGGTGTGCTGGAAAGCGTACAGAGCAGCAGCAGTGAGGTCCTGCCACCTTGCTCTGACAGCAGGGCATGATTGGGATTGGGGGGGTGTCAAGGATGGGCACAGGGAGGGAGAGCCTGCTTGGGGCATGGGACATGCTGCTCGGAGTTCAGGGGGGGATTGCTGGAAGGAAGAGGTTAGAGCATCATTGTTTGCTGAAACACACCCCCTCCCATCCTTGCAAAAGGCTGATGATACGGTGCATCCTTAAATCCATCATGTAGTGAGGTTTCTGGCACTTGCATCTGCTGGCTAAAACGTGCGTGAGACTGCTAAGTAGCTGTTGGAAGCAGGGAAGGTATGTTCAGTCTTATGTTTAGTTCGTTCCCCTCCTAATTAGCTCTGACTTAACAGGCTATTTCAGAGTTCAGCCGAATGTCTCTGCTCCTAAAAGCCCAGATCCGTCCTGTTGCGGGAGCTCTGCTTCTGTATGCTGGCCCGTGCAGCCGCCAGTACTTACCGGTGCAGATTCAGGAATCTCAGTAAAGTTTTTTATCGTGGTGGTTCACCTCCTGCCCCTTGGGATAGCAGCTGATAAATCAGGAAGCTGTGTTTCACACTTCTCAGATGCCTCTAGCGCAGTGGCTTGGGCTCCGGTGGCGCTAGAGCCACCTGCGGTCTCGATGAGTCTCTCGTCCAGCGACAAGCAAAGGGGCAATGCGCTCTGCCCCTTGGCATACCACCGGCCAGAGCCAGGGCTACTGGCAGAGAATCTTCCTGCCTCCATTTCCCTCCAGTTTCTGCCCTCGCTGTTGGAGCTTTCATGCTCTTTGAGGGGAACTAGCTGAATGTCTGCAACCTCTTTCGTTTTCCCTTCTGCCTCCTGCAAGCGATCGTGCTGCTGAGGAGGTCTGTCGCCTCGGTTTACGTCGCGTTCGTCCGGCGCCGGCTAAAAGCAGAGAGGTGTGCCCTTTACATCTGCGAGCGGGGAATTTGGGGTCGAAACTGGCGAGCTGTTGGGCACGGGCTGTGAGCTCTTCACCTGCCCGGTGTCGGCGGGGAAGAGGAAAACCGCAACCGAAACTGTGACTGTGGTGCGGAGCCGGCTTGCAGGGCGCGGAGGCAGCTGCTCGCCCCCTCGGCTCCTCTAAACCTGCCAGCGCACCGACGAACAACAACGGCAAAAGGCTAAATAACACGAGCTGGTGGTGCTTACAGAGGCCTCTGATGGGATGGAGCCTCCTTTTTTCAGCTTGCCCTGGGGCTTACTAATTTTCTTAATTTCATAGCATATGTACTGACTTTTTTTGAAGCAAAGGCGCACTATCTGATTCCTTAAAGTTTTCCTTTGACTTGGTGGTGCATCGCCTTCCAGTACTGAGAGTCTTCTAAGCTTCATCGTGCCTTCTGGGAAAGGGTGAAAAAGGTTCTTTTCCTTTTTTTTTTTTTTTTTTTTTTAACAAAAAAGGCCTGATTTAAGGGAGGTAGCCGTGCTAGCTAATTAACGAGCAATTAAAGCTAAGGAGTAAAGTAGAAGCGCTTTAATTCTCTCCCATCTTGTTTAGGTTTTGCCGGGTGTTCGGAGAGCAGTCGCGAAGCTGCTTTGTTGCCAAGGTGACTTGTAAATGTTGCTGAGGCGATGCTGCTCCGGTGCATTTCCATAGCACAAACATGATAAATTATGGGATGCATATGTCATGAGTCATAGGATTGTTCAGAGATCAAGTGATTTAAGCTATTGGCACGGACACACGCATCCATACGGGCATGTGATGATCGCATGTCGGTTTGTAACAAAGCTCTTCCAGCGGTATTGAAAAATCATACCGAAGTGTGAAAGATGGAATAAATTCTACAAGCTGTGAATTTCTTGATCGAGGAGCACAATTGCCCATTTATCTCATTTTATAAGAGAAAGACACTGCCCGTTGGAGCCTTAGCTGGGAAAAATAAAACCCGATTAACATTAAAAACCTATCGTAAGGCATGAGGTCATGGGTAGAAAGTTATAGCAGTTTCTGCGTGTGAAAGTAAATGGTGTAATGTGCCAGAACCTTTAGAGGTGATCTTCAGCATCGGAGCGAGGCGCCGGTGTCCCTTTGCATGGTAATCCCCTACTTTTCTTTCTCGCTGGGATGTGTGTGTACGTGAGCAGATGAAAGATGGAGACAGTAAACATGTCCTTTGCCCTGGTCAGTTATTACCTTCCTGTGATGGGACATAGCGCAAAAAAAAAAAAAGGGAAAAAAACCCAAAAGTCCGTGCACGGAGGGTGGCGGTTGCTTGTTTGTGCAGTGCGGTGGGCGTGGGCAGGAGGATACAGATGTGGAAAGCTCCCAAGCAGAGGTACTTGGAGGGAAAAATGAAATCAGTTGGGTGTCCTCTGCCCTGTGGGATACTCAGAATTGGCTGCTGAAGGTGGCTTATGGGATTTCTTACTGCTGTTGTGATCTCCATGCTGAAGACTGTGTTTTAGCATTTGGATAGTCATTATCCTACTCGGGTGAATAAAGGATGTCTTGCATAAGTGAGCGCAATGAGAGGTTGCTCCAGGGAAGAGGAAAGGCTGTTTTTAGCTGCCATGTTATTTGAAGGAAAGAATCGCGACTTAAACACTAAGATGTGTTTCCTTGTTTGCATGGCACGGGAAGGCCTGGTCTCTGGCAGCTGACAGCAACAGGAAGGTGGGAAAATGAAGGGAAGTTTTTTCGGGTAGCGTGGTTGTGCCTGTGAGTAACTGTTATTGTGAGATTGCGACCCGTGCACTGAGGAGACAGTGTTCCAGGCAAAAACCACATGGGGAGAAGCATCTTCTTAAATTCTTCCTTGTCTCTAGTTGGGTGGGACAGTGAGAAATGGTTTGAGTTGCCGGTGCTGTTCTCACAGCTGGTGTAAGACTGGGAAATGCTGGAGGCTGGAGGAAGGAACACGTTTCAGAGTTTCATCTTCTTACTCATAGAGGTGTGTTGCTATGAGAACTCGGCATTTATCCTGTGTTTCTGGCTACCTCGTCACTGCTTGAATAACGATGATAGGAAAACTCCAAAGTATTTTATTGTTGTTTTCTTCCTCGGGCGGAGAAAGGGATGTTGTAGATACATGGCGGGGGAGAACGAAAGCAAATAAATTCTTCTCGTCCTTGTTGGGCATGCAAGATATGCTTATGTGGCTGTGCCTCATGTTGACATTTATATCTTAATTTGGGGAGACATTGTGTCTGATCCAGGTTGCTTGCTCTGTCTTTTGAGGACAGAGTGGAATCCGGTGGTAAAATATTAATAGCGCCTGCGCTTCGTGAGCCGGTCGCTGCTGTGCCAAAGGGAAAAACCTCTGGGCGTCCGACGTGTCCGTGCAAGCTGCGTAGAGAGCCTGACAGCCTGCGGGTTACGCCGTGGCCCCAACAGCAACCGACCTTTGTCCGTTTGCGGTGAAAATCCGACTGGAAGAGGCGGGGGCAGCGTCGGAGACAAGGACGAGTCCCGCCTGGCTCCCTGGCTTCGCTGTCCTCCCGTGCGGATGCAGGATGATTACGCAACCCGGATTAATGTGTGGAGATGTCGCTCCACTAATGGTCTTAACCGCATCTAGTGGGTTGGAGTTCAGAGATTCAGCGGGATTTCTGGCTCTGTGGCCGAGGAGATGTAGCTCTGGTTGCCTGAGGGGTCTTCCCTTCGATGTGACTGGGGAGCGGAGGCAAAGGTGTTGCAGAGCTGCTGGCAGCGAGGGCTTTTTGGATAAACTTCAGTAGGTGTGTGCTGTTCTCCTCGGCGCATGGAGCCCCGGAGAAATGCCGACGGTGACGAGCTGTTGGCGAGGTTACAACAAATGTCTCTCCTCTCCGTTTTGGTTTTTTTTTTAGCGTGGACAGTCAGAGAGAGCAGCACTCGGCATCCCTCCGCCGAGTCCTCTGGCAGATAGAAAAGGAACCGATGTGCAGAGGGTTGCTTTCGGTGGTGGCAGGCTGGAATTAACTTGCTGTTTCCTGGAAGCCCCAAAGATTAAGACCGTCAACCTCCCCCCGCCCCCAGCCTGCTACTTCCTCTGACCCCGCAAAAGCTTCTCCGGGAATTGGTCAGGATGTGCCTGCCTTTTCTCAGGCTAGACAGAGTTAGGAGCAGGAAGGCTATCCCGGTGTAGCAGCTCTCAGCGTGAAGGGTGGCGTGTCGTTGCTGGGATGGCTGGAGACATGAAGGCTATGAACAGTACGAGTGTGGCGTAGAGTGCCCCTGCCTGATCTGTTTGGGGAAACTGAGCATCTGAGTATCACGTTTCCTTATGTAAGGGGGGAAAAAAATAGCAGATTGCATTAAAAATGTAAAATGAAATCTGATAGAAGCATTTCTAAAGTGATACTTAAAACGTGGCTGGCCCAGCATCTTTTGTGCTGTGTGAAACAGGACTACTGGGGCCGCTGGTGTGGTTATAGGGTACAGCTGTTGGGCAGCATCTTCATCCCAGATGTGCAGGCGTGGGGTGCTGCCGGATTCGTTCTGGTGGAGGGGGTCACGCTGGTGATTTAGAGGCACAGTTGTAGTAAGCTGAGATACCTGTTTTCTGGAACATGTTGACGTTGCTGGCTGAAAGAAGTGTGACAAACTGTGTTTTAGAATCTCGAAGGGAGCAGGTGTTGGCCAGACGGCCTCGCCGAGAGGAGCGTTGCCAGATCGCAGAATGGCCCGAGTATCCCGCTCGCCTGGAAAAAGTCAACTTCAGTTTTGGTTTTTTTTGGCCAAATATCATCTGCTGTTTCATAAAGCAGCCCTGCAGGCAGCTTCCCAAGCAGCCTAAAAACGATACCGGGGTGTCTTCTTGGTGCCTGCAAACATCTCCAGGACCCGAGGTGCTACTTGGAGCCGTTTCCAAGTTGTGGTGAACAAAAACTTCATCAGAGAGGTTGCCCTCCCCCCCCGCCCCTCCCCCAGCCTTCTGTTGCTGATAACAGGTATTCCAAGGACAGTCGTGAAACCAGACGGTGCTGGTAGAGCTGTAGGAACATGTTCTACAAGATAAGGTGGGATAGAGTTGGGTTGTATCCAGGGGCTGCCAGGATGCTGGTGGGGTGGGTCTTGGAGGGGACAGGAGGGAAGAAGGGGCTGAAAGAAGAGGGACCTCGGCCCTGGTGAGGGGGGAAGAGCAGAAATTGAAGGCCAGGCTCTGTGGGGGAGGAGGCTGAGTAGGGAAGGGGAGGATCAGGGAATGGAGCTCTCAGGAGTGTCCGGGTAGGAAACCAACAAGTGTGTTTGCAGGAAGGGAAATGGGAGAAGGAGGAAGAGCAAGGAAGAGGAAAAAGGACAGTGAGCCGTGGGGAGGTAGGAGAGAACACACAGGTTGCCAAACAGCGGCAGACGTGCAGAAAGATTTTAGTGGTCAGCCAGGAAGTCTAAAAGGCATGGGAAAACCGACTTGTTTGTGGAAATTGTAAATAGGAAGCTGATTAACCGAGTTGCTGTCTGTACCGCATGTCTGCCTCATCATACATCGGCTAGCTTGGTATAAACCCAAGAAAAAATACCTATTTGAGATGATGATTAAGTGCCGTTCTATGTCAGACATCCATGTAAAATCGCTTAAGCGGGCTCGGAATTTGAGGGGAACAGTATTGGAAAAGGGATGCTGAAGTTATTGCAAGCATGGCAGTGTAGGTGTTTGGGGCTTCGTTCGTCAAACTAGTTTCCAGTAAGTGTTTTGAAGCTCAGGTGGTCACGGCTGCTGGAAATATTCCCTGGAGAAAAGTGAGGTCTTTCTTAAAAGGAGGCGACAAAGATCATGTGATGTACAGAGGGCGGCTGGTTACTTGAAGTAAAGAAGCCTTATTTACAGCCTTGCATTCAAGTACTGCTTTTTGAAAAACATCACAACTGTTCTTAGTGGTATTCCCATGTACGTGCGTGCATGCTCCGTGTCCCATTTGTAGCTCCAGAAGAAGGGACGAATGCTTCTAAGTCAGACTCTGCAGTTCCATGCGAGAAATCAGGGAAGGGTTAGGAATTAGCAAAAGACTAATACTTTATTTAATCTTCAGAAGGTATTTTTGAAAAGAAAGTCATTGCAAAGTGAAGCTTGGATTATTACTTCCCACAGTTCGTATGGGGCGAGGTCACTTTCTGAGAAGGATCTGTGCTTTCTGTATCTGAAGATGTTTCATTATTTTAAAAAGCATGTTGTGATGTTTCTATGGCTACAAGTATTGTGAACGTTGTATTTTTTAAATAGATGTGACACCAACGCAAAGTACCGTGCTTTTTGGGGGAGTGGGGTGGGGGTGGGGATGTTGTGCTTAGCTGTTGAGGAAACTGCTGCCGTAGGCTGACCAGAGGAGACTTGTTCTGAAGTCAGATTTTGGGTTTATTTGCATGCCTCATAAGCCATAAGTCATGGTGAGGATGACGTTGAAGAGATCAGAGACCATAGCTTTCTTGCAATGAATTGTTTTGTATTTACTGGGTCTTGTGGTGTTTGTTTTTATTCTATCCTTAGGTAACTTTACTACTACAGAAAGCAACCAAGGTCACTTTCTTGAAACTCCAGAGGAAAAAGAGCTCTCAAATGAGAAATGTTATTTAGAGAGACATTCTATATATGAAAAAGCGGAAGACCAGCCAACAGAAGATATTGGCCAACATCCATGTCCACGTCTGGACAGGAAGCGTAAGCACTCTGGTGAGAGAGTGCAAAACGATGGCAGCCAAAATGAAAACCTTGTGGATGAACTGCAGGATGAACTTATGTCAAAAGCAAAAAAGAAGAAGAACTCCAAAGGTAAGACAGCATTTTGCTTTGGTCACTCTCAAGGAATGTCTTGTGAAAGGAACGTCCCTTTGGCTTAATGTGTTTCTATTTTTGAACTTGATAGTTACTAATTGTGAGCACTGTCATTTCACTTAAAATTATATATATGTATATATATGTATGTATATATATATGTGTATATATATATATGTATATATAAAAATCTTGGCATATAAGGGTAAAGCACTAGTCATTGGACACTGTAGCCACAGCAGTGCAAGTTACTGTAGTGCATGTAACCCTTAATGAGCGAACCTTTAAAAATGCATAGTGTGGTGGTAAAGCTGAGACTATATGCCCCGAAAGTGAAATGTAGCTTTTGTTTTAAGTTGAGGGGGCTTTTTGATTAATTTTTAGTTATTTTTCCATTAGATGACTGGCCTGAGAGGGAAATGACAAACAATTCCTCTAACCACTTAGAAGAGCCCAATTGTAATGAGGTGACCAACCTGAAGGTGTGCATTGAATTAACAGGGCTCCATCCCAAAAAGCAGCGTCACCTGCAGCATCTTAGGGAACTATGGGAGCAGCAGGTGTCACCAGAGAGATCCCCGTCCGGCAAGTTGGGCCGGCAAAGCAGGAAAGATTTAGCTGAGGCTGTTCAGCCAGAGGCCACTGCAAAGGTCAAAGACTTCACAGAAGAAAGGCACACCAAGAAAAGGTCAGAGGCCAAAAGCAATAGAAGTTGGTCTGAAGAGTCCCTCAAAACAAGTGACAATGAACAAGGTATGCAGAGACTACTAGGGAAACCAGACGGCTTTAGCATTTACAGTGACGCATGCTGCCACCGATGTCAAGGAGTTGTCGAGAGCTTTTCTTTAAAAAAACTATATATATTTCTGTAGACGTCCATTTGTATAAGGACCGACACCTCCTCTTTAAGAGTTGCACTGTAGCTGATACTTGGCAGACAAGAAAACGTGTTTGTGTCTGTGTGTGTAACTATGTGTTTGTGTGCGTGTGTGCGCGTGTGTTTTGCCTTTATAATACTTTCTCATAGATAACGTGAAGATGAAGTTTATGTCTAGAGGAGAGCTGGGGGGGCGGGCGTACAACGCGGGCATGCTTCTGGGCGAGGGATGGGGCGGAGGAAAGAGGCTGCTAGTTGGTGTAAGAGTGTTTAGCCACGCGTAGGATTTGGGGGGCTGTGACCCTCTGCAACAGCGTAAGCACAGGTAGTAGCTCTTAATCTTGGGAACCCAACGCCTCCAGCACCCTCAGCACTGCTGGGTTTCCCTGCCTTTCTCAGGGCATGTGCTCAAGCGCAAACCTCATCCTCCTCCCAAAGAGGATGCCTTGCTGGTTCATCCCGGGCATGTCCTCTAAACCCCTGTGGCCCCACTTCCCGGTCCCTTGGCAGAGATCTTCCCAGCAGCTTTCTCCTAAGGGTTCGCTTCCTCAAAGCACATCAGCTTTCCTTGGCTTGTTTCCGTCTGCTTCTTTCCCCCTCGCTCCACTTCCTCCTTTTCCCCATCCTCTTCCCCTTTTCTGCCCGTTCCCTATCCTGGGGGAGAGCCTGTGGAAGCAATCTGCCACGTCTTCCTTTGGATGGACGGGTCACTCTGCTGTCCCTGCTCTCCTCAGCCCCAGGGCACATTGTCTGCTCTGCTGCTTGTCCTCTTCCCTGTGACTTTGGCTTGGTTGGAGGAGTGGTGGGGAACGGCAGCACACAGCCCATGTGGCCAATCCCCTCGCGTCTCCCCTGCATTTCATTGTGAATCCCCGTTTCTCTCCTCTTTTGGCTGTTCAGGTAAAAGGTTGCAAATACTTTTCTCCCTTCCTTTCCTCCTCTTACCCCTCCAAGACTGCTTTTCAGGAAAGGCTGTTTCTGGGAGAGGCAGCTGAGTTGGATGTTTGGGCTCCGTCCTCCTTCACAGACTTGGGAGCTTCATCAGACTGGTGGACATTCACTTTCAGACTGGCCTAACCTGTAGTTTAGCTGAGATCCCCTCAAAAGAGGGACGCACTTGGAGAGTGGATTCTCTTGTCCCGTGCCATGGAAAGGCCCAAGTCCAGGTCATCCTGCACGAGCGAAAGTTTTTCTGGGCATCATCTCCAAAACGGTCGCAGGCAAAAGTATCATCTTCCCTTCTGTCCCAAAGCTCCTCACCCATCTTTCCCCTCGGTAGGGTCATTTGAGGGCAGAAAACCCCAAACTTTGATGCTTACTGATGGGGAAGGTTCTCCAAAAAAGTCTTTGTGGAGCAGGAGATCAAAACTTCGTTTAAAAGGAGCTTTGACTCTTAGTCCTTTGCTTTATGTGCTGCTTTGGCGAGCATGGGACCTGCTCAAACATCTCTGCCCATCACCTGCTTGCCTTTGTACTTGCAGGAAGAGACACCTTGTAGGCATTAAACAGGGGTCAGTAACAAGAAGCCGCATTGTGTAAGGATGCTCTAGCTTTCCCCTGCAGTGCCTCCAAGGAAAAAGAGGTGTCTCCTGATTTATGCACAGTTCCCAAAGGCATTCAGATTCAGTCGCCCCACGGCTATGAAAAACCTCTTCATTTTGGAAGCTGCTGTAAACCCATAAACCTGACTAAATTATGCCTCGCCGTTCAGTGTGCAGAGGCACTGGCGATGGTTGAGATTGCTTTGCTGATGCTCCTCCAGCTCCGTTGAAGTGTAAACCTTTGAATCTCCTTAGTTCATTAGGATGAGGACATTTTTCCCCATATCGCAACAGAACATCCTCTGCCTGACAGTCGCGTGGGGATGGGGACTTCCAACTTGGCTTTCTTGCCCGGGACTGGTCCTCGGACTTTTGTTAAGCAGATACTGTGAATATGAGAATATACCCTGTCGCTTGCAGCTTTTTTTTTTCTCTGGTGCTGTTCCCGGTGCCCAGGCACTGCCTGCCAACATGCCAGTCTTGCTGCTGGGAAGCTGGTTGTATCCCAAGAAGGTGGGCTGTAACAGGGCATCGCGGTCTGGCCCTGTGCCTGCGAAGCCTTAGTCTAACAGTGGGATGGTTTGCCGCTTGTACCTCCAGGAGGATGGTGGGTGCTGACTTCTGGCCTTGTTGTTGCTCCAGTCGTGTCCAACCTGGGATTTTAGTGTGGGAGGAGTCATGCACTGCGTTGCAAGCTGCCGGCGGGCTGTCACCCCTCTGGCCCCCAGTCAGTGCCTGCTGGCTGGGTGACCACAGCGGTGGCTGCTGGAATTGTTCCCCCGGTGACTCTTCCGGCTGTCACCTCCTTGCAGCCTCGACTGCGGGTCAGAACCACAAGAGCCGGGATGTGGCTTGCCCGAAATAATTGGAGTTGACCTTGACTGTGCTTGGCTCTCCAGGGTGCAGTGGGTCCGTGAGCGTGGGGATGCCTGCAACCTCAGGGCCCGTGACTGAGGCGGGAGCTGTGGGGGGTCCCTGCTGGGGTCCCAGCTGAGCGTTAACCTTTGGTGCTGTAGCCCAGCCCTTCCGGCAGTCCCCCAGGGAGCCGCAGCTGCTCGAAAACCAGGGCAGCTTGGTAACGAAAGCCCTGAGGAGAGGAGCCGGGAGGATCTCTTCCAGCAGGAAAGCCGCCGCCTGCCCCTCAGAGCCGCCTCGGGTTGCAGGCGGCGTGGCG